ATCCTCCGCCAGCACCCCGACGGTGACGGCGGATCCACCGGCTCCCACCGGACCCAGGGACAGGCCCGGCTCCACCGTCCCCGTCAGACTCGCTTCCCCCCGTGTGGAACGGGAAGGGTCCCTGCGTGGGCAACGATTCCTCGTCCACCAAGTCACCCCAACCACGCCGGCTGCTGTCTCGTTAAACTCATTGTCGTCATCATCGTCATTGTCTTCACTGCCGGTCTCCTCTCCTCGGTCGTGAGCTTGCTGCTTCCGTATCACCTTTTTCTTCGCAAGCTCCCTCGTCTTCTTGTCCCAACCGGCCAAGGAGCGGTTTGCTGCCGTCCAGGCTGGGTCCTTCGGCAGCGGGGCCGGGCTGTCCTTGAAGAACAGTGCCCCCAGCTGGCCCCGCTATCCCAAGGTTAGCATCAGGGGGTCGGAAATTCAAGAGAAAAGAGGAGCAAGAGGAAAGAAGACTTACGAAACCAACGAACCCCGGTTCCGGCCGCATTGGGGGATGCCCCGGCACCGAATACACAAAGTCAATGACGGTGCCAATGGAGTCCTTCATGGGCTCCATTGCCTCCTTGATGTGCTGCGCCACTTCAGAGTAAGGGAGTGCCTCGTCGACAAGCACCGTCCCTTCGATCGACGCTTCAGGCACCATCTGATACAGGGAAAGCGCGCGCGCCATCAGCGGCGCAACCCTCCTCACGTGGTAGGCGTCGATAATCCCCGACCCCTTCATGCCTCTCTGCTTCAGAGTTTGGAGGACAGCGAGAAGGCCGTTGAGTTGCTTGTTTTCCTTGCCCGGGACACCCCACCCCCATGACCCCGGGGCCTCCAAGATGTAGCGCCCAGTGAAAGCTGGCAAGGGGGCGATGGCGTCATTCTTGACATAGAACCATTGCGAATGCCACCCCTTGTTGGAGGTGGACAGACGCATTAGCGGGTATGCCCCCGCCTGGTTGTTGCGGAGGTGGATGCTGGCACACCCCACCGGTGCGTGCAATTCTTGCTTCCCGACCCGCCTCTTCACAAGATTGACGGCGAAGATATACCGCCATAGGTCAAAGTGGGGGCTGATTCCCAAGAATCCCTTGCACAGGGCGACGAACGTCGCAATGTGCTGGATCCCGTTGGGGTCAAGGTGCTGCAGCTCCACCTGATAGTAGTCCAGCAGTCCCCGGAAAAATTGATGGGCGGGCATGGTGAATCCCCGCTCGTGGAAGTGAGCGAAAGACACGACGTACCCTTCAGGCGGCTGTGGCTCGTCCTCTTCACCGGGCAACTGCCACTCCTCGGCGGCGGTCAATGGACGGAGGAGGCCTCGGCGGACGAGGCCCTCCAGGCGCTGAGTGGAGATGTTGGATTTGTACCCCGGGTCCATTGCGATGGCGGGAGCAACAAGGGGAAGAAGGCAACAACGAGTTTGACGGCGGGAGCAGTGCGGGTGCGAGAGGCACAGGCGATTGGCGGTGGAGGCTGAGAAGGCGAGGGCAAGGAGGCGAAGTACGGAACCCTAGGGGCGAACCCCGTGGTTTTATAGGGGCGACGGATGTGAGAAGGGCAACGGTCCACCTCGATCTCCGAGCCCACCACGACGCACCGCCGCGTCATGTCACGGGACACGCGCACGCGATGCCTATCCCTTCCCGTGAAAGTCACGCCGAGCGGTTCGCTTTCCCAGCGGACCAAGACTCTCTTCCCACCGAGGGAACACGGGTCACAAAGCTTTTCTCTCCGGCCCACCTAGGGTCCCGGAGCCCAAGGGCCGTCCCAACAAAGGATGGGCCCGCAAAACGACTAGGACTCAAGGACGCAAGCATCGCTAGGGCCTTGATCCGCAGTCAAGTCCCAACCAGGCCGGCCCTGAATGAAATCCCCGTGAACGGGATACCACGATTCCCTTAAAAATATCCAGTTGACGAAAAACCAAGTCTAAACGGCCTTACCCGCGGAGGGTCCGATACTATCCCCGGCGATTCTACTTGAATCACCCGGGGCTCGGGAGCTACACCCACTAGGTGCACTCGCGCGCACCATCTGGCGAATTGACTCCGACACTACCCCCGGACGATTCTACTCGAATCACCCAGGGGCTCAGGGGCTACACCCACCGGGTGCGCTCGCGCGCATCCTTTGGCGAATTGACTCCGATACTACCCCGGGCAATTTTACTCAAATCATCCGGGGGCTCGGGGGCTACACCCACCGGGTGCGCTCGCGTGCACCCTCTGGCAAATTGACTCCGACAAAATCAAAACACCCCCGATTTATTTTGTTCGAATCACCCGGAGGCTACTGTCGAGGACCTAATACCGGGTACCCAAGGAGGTGGAACTAATAACCATCGAACTTTAAAAACTCCCGAACAGACAAGAACACTACTGCGCTTCTTGCCCAAACGACGACGGTTTGGTTCCGCCTCGCCCGACGGTTGGAGGATGGCTCCACCTCGCCCGAGGGCTGAGGGATCGGCTCCGCCTCGCCCGACCCCGAGGTATAAACTCCGTCTCGCCCAACGCCCGTGGGCCGGCTCCGCCTCGCCCGAGGGCTGAGGTCTAAACTCTGCCTCGCCCGACCCTCGAGGGCTGGGCTCCGCCTCACCCAAACGGATAGAAGCTAGGCTCTGCCTCGCCCGACGTCCGAGGGCGGACCTCGCCTCGCCCGATGTCCAAATGCTGGCTCTGCCTCGCCTGACAACCGCACCCCGCTCCCTCATGATGATAGGCACAAGGTAAGATAAAATGTTCGGGTCAACCGCAGCATCGAGGACCATGCCCTACGCCCCTGCAGAAAAGTACCGTCAGGGCATGACAGGACGGTCGCTTAGACCATTCCAGGCGTGGCAGAGCCTGAATAGTGTTGCAGGCGCGTGCTCTTCGCCCTACAGTGTTGTAGGCGCCACCTTCAGTCCTCGGGCGAAGAATCCGACACAGACGTACGACAACCACTACGTTCCAAGGGGGGACTCCCGTCCTCTACAGTGGCAAACGAGCGGTCACCGCGCCTTCCGCTCCCCATAGGGTCGTAGATCGACACCCCTGCCTGACACGTCGCCCGCGGAGGCAGGACGGGACGCACCCACTTGCTAAAAGAGGCCAGGGCATGGCCTACGAAGATCAACGAACACATCACTTCTGACACTGTCTGCCATGTTATACAGGGCAGGCGCAGGAAAGAAGGAAGACCCAACCTTTCGAAAGATCTTCTATACCATTGGTATTTTCTCTTTCCTATCTATAACCCCTGCTACTCCCTTGATCTATAAAAGGGAGGACAGAGCTCTCTCTATGGGACCGACTTTCGACGGACAACTTACATACAGACGAGCCCATAGAGAGTTCAGTTCCACATCACACACACTGCCAAGTCGTTATCAGGCTTTTGGTATCCTTTCAACCCTTCCATCATAGATCTGTGACTAGTCCCTCTCTCGATCGTTTATATCTCTATTACGAATCTTTTTCGGTGCTAATAACACGAGCAGCAATAGACTAAACATAGAAACATTCAACCCAAACCAGTATAAACCTTGTGTCTTTTAACACATCATCTCTAACGCGCATTAATTATAAATTTAGTTAGCCGGTGCTGCGCTGGTTCGAAACACCCACACATCTCAATGTCCGAACCCGTCTCGATGCATGGAGAAAGAGAAGGTAGAAAGAACACGCCATGGACTGAAAATTCGATGCCTTGACCTGTGGTCCGAATGGTAAATCCGGAGAGGTCGGTGAGCTTCTTGGAAGGAGAGGATTGCGGGCGGTGGGACTCAGCGAATTCGCCGCCGATGGCGCGGGCGAAGAGGAAGAGAAGATCCAACTGCCTGATGCTGAACTTAATTTTGAACAGTCAGATTAAGATGGTGCGGTCCAGTTTCAGCCGAGCCGAGGAGAGCAGTTGGGATTTCTTTGTAGGCAGTGGCAGTGCCAGAGAAGTTTATGGAGGGTTGTGATGTTATCGCGATCCAACCCAGGGCTTACATTGACCGTATGATCGGAACCAGCGGGCCCAGATCGAGAAATGCGGAGCGGTTTGATCTTTCCTTGTGGACCCGCGTATCAGCCTCCGTTAGCCAAACGGTGGGTCATCATCAGCTGCGCCGCCGGCGCGGAAGCGGGCGCCTCCTAGTGCCAGTCTTCCACCGCCGTTGAGCGCGACCCTCCGCTATCTGTCCGGTTACCGGTGGCAGTGACCTCGGGTGCGGCGTTGCCTTCGCCCGCGCGTGTGCTGGTCCCGGCCAGGATTCCAAATCAACAAGCAGGTAGAAAACCATCCGGATTTGCTTAGACTTTACTTGCTCCCGTGCACAAGTCAGCAGAGTGCCTACTCTATTCCATTGGATTTGCGCGTGTATGAACTATTTAAGTAATTCTAGGTTAATGCACTAGAGCCTTCACTGGTTCATAGGAGTTGGCTGGACGGGGCCTGTCTCATTTTTTTATTGGTGAATCACCTCTTACTGCATCTCATTTGGCCGCCTATTTCTTTTCATCTTCCTGCAGCTGCTTGTGGGTCGTTGACCTGTTGTGAGCCATGCTTGTTTCAGCGCCTTCTCTGCTGCATCAGAAGGTAATATTATCCTGCCGTCCCTTGTGAACCCAAGCTCCGTTTCTTAGATAAAAGTAGAACTGCTCAACTCTGACCAGAAACCTTGGGCTTTACATTCTGCTAACGAAACTGATAGCAAAACTCTGAATATTGCAGGCTTGCAGCAAGTTGCCAACTGGAAATGAAAGAGGCACGATGGTACATTGTGGTTCAGCTGGAGCATGGAGTGGTAGTAACCTTTCAGGTTTGGATTCAGAAAGTTGTGCTGAAGAATTTTATTGGACCCAAATTAAGCTCTTATGTGCTCAGTGAACAAAGAACTTGCTAAGTCGCTACCTTCCTTGATCATTTGCAGGATCAGAAGGATCTGAATAACACCTCTCTTTGCCCTACTATCTACAGAGATGATTAACTACGACTTATACAGCTGCAGCTAACAGCAAGCTGCCACATACGGCGCCATGTGGTTCGATGTTGCCATGGTGCTCAGGAATGCCTTCTCCAGCTCCGCAGAGGTGCCCCTCCGCAGCAAACACAGGGTGTACTCTATGACCATGGCATCACAGGGCAGTGTGATCCTGCCGCCGCCGCCCGTGAAGCCGAACTCCTCCTTGGACATCTGCAGGAGCTCGGTGAAGATTGTCGTCCCGAGGCACGACAACGGCACATCAAAACATGCCCCGTCAATCGTGTACACGGCGCAGTGGCCCTTACTTGCCACGGAAGTGCAGCACTTGTCGACTTCCTTTGCTGCCGTCCTCCAGGTGAGGCGCTTCCTCCCAAGAACTGCCTTCCTCTGCTACTTCTTGGCCAGCTGAGCGATCCTCTTGGTGCTGATCATGGTTACTTCTTTTTTTCTTGGCTGGGAACTGGAGAAGTGGAGAGCTCAGAGTTGAGATTGTGATGGTGTTCTGAGGCCACTTGACCTGAATATATAGGTCACTGAGTGTGAGTGGGATGGTTCATGGTTGCGCAAGGGACAAGGACATGAGCCCATGAGGACGGTGAGTGCGATGTTGCAAGACGCGTCTGCGAGTACGATTTGGATGAGACTCTGATGGGGGCCGAGTGTTTGGTGCTGAATGCTCGTGGTGTGCTTTCAGTGCTTGGAGCCTTGGACTGCACAGAATCCATGCTGGTGCACCATGCCGAGCGGTGTCGCTGGGAAGTGGCACGAGGACCCCATGTTTGTTGGGGCCAACGTGGAGCATGAGGGCCAGGTTTGTACAGCTGTGCTGTCAGATACATCAGCAGATCAGCTTGTGTTTGAAGTTTCATCAAAACGATGCTTTTGTCAGACGGCAATGGCATGCTTGAAGAATGCAAATAAAACTGGAGCTAGCTAGTTGCCTAGTTGCGATCTTGTAGGTCCATGCAGGGAACTGCAAGAAGCAGCTGCGAAATGGAGTTCACATGATGTGCTATTGATCCAGCAGACCACAAACTTATCTAAGATGGTGTGAAGTTGTCGAGCAAGTTGTTTGGACGGCTGAGCAGTCTTAATCCGGTCATTCAGAAACAATGAGCTGTGGGCACAAAAACTTCCAGATGTCTTACAAATAATAATCAGTATCTCATTGCACAATCACTGAAAAAACTGATACTGACAAATTGAACCAATTTACATGTGGTCCTCATGGCCCATGAGACAGCAGTATGGCATCACATTGAGATATGTAACGACCCAGACACTACTACAATTCTACAATTGGCTCCGACAAGTGCCAACAGATGATGGCCCCAGAGAAATCTAATCAGAACCACACACTGCTTCCCCTTGCAGCACTGCATGTTCTGGGCTCGTGGCCTTGTCTCTAGTCAACCAGAGGTGATAGCTGCACTTGAACTGCGTGCTCTTCTTCCCCCTCACATATAAATCCACCACCTTCGCACCAACATTTCATCAGTCCATCAGCAACCTAAGCATTACATCTAGCAGCACAATACCCTCTGATACAGAGGTTCTCTGAGCATTCAGATTCAGCCAGGAAAAGAAGGAGAAGCAACCATGATCAGTGCCAAGAGGCTCGTTCAGATGGCAAAGAAGTGGCAGAGAATGGCCGCCTTGGCAAGGAAGCGGCTTACCTCGATGTCGGCGAAAGAAACTGAAGCATCCTTTGGAACGTCGTCGACGGCAATGGCCAGCAAGGACCACTGCGTCATGTACTCCGCTGACGGAAGGCGGTTCGAGGTGCCGCTGGCGTACCTCGGCACAGCGGTCCTCGGTGAGCTCCTGTGCATGTCGCAGGAGGAGTTTGGGTTCGCGAGCAACGGTGGCAAGATCACGCTGCCCTGTGATGCCGCCATGATGGAGTATGCCATGTGTTTGGTTAGAAGAGACGCTTCTGAGGAGGTTGTGAGGGCGCTCTTGAGCTCCATGGTCAGGCCTTGCCACACTGTCAGTGTCTGTGGCGTGGCACCATCGATGGAGCTCAAGCAGCAGCTAGCCGTATATGTATAGTTCAATAGCTCATTTTATTAGCCCCTGTCTCAGTGTCTCTTGATGTATGTAGTAATGTACAGTACAGTTCTGTTCAACCGGATGTAAGGTTGTTACTTGTTAGAATCAAATGAAATGGTAAGAAAGATGTTACCAGCTCAATAATCTTAGCAAATCAGTACCGTCCCTTGTGATTTGTGAACCAAAGCTCCTCCTGCGCTGCGATATCCTGAGCAGCCCACTAAAGATAATTGTGCCAAAGTATCCCAGTGGGACCTCAAGTCAAAACTCCTCCCAAGGCTGTATGCACGGTGAAGTGGCCCTTGTCTGGAATTCGTGAAGTGGTGCAACTTGTATTGTCGTCTCTGGTGTCTGTCCATTTCCTCGCCAAGTGGGCAAGCCTCCTGGGATGGACTATGGTTGGTTCTTCTTGTTTCTCAGGTATGGTGCTTAGAAATTCTTTGTTTATGACTTTGTGATTGCAGTGATGGTATCTTGCTTGCTCCTGAATATGTAGTTGAAGAAATGTTCCATGGCTGAGAGCCTGAGACTAATTGGCAGGTTACAAGACCGTGAGCTTGGTACATGCATTGATGACTGCAAAGTAGGCATCAAGATTCAGATTTTTTTTGAAACATTGGCAGGAGCTCTGCCATATCATATAAGAAGGGAGCAAACACACATTTTACATTGTTTTGTTACATGAATAACCAACACCGCAAAGGCGCAAACACAGAATAAAGGATGAGACACTTCATTATGGAACTTCTGGCCGCCTGCATGCACGCTTCAAATTTTATTATTCTGGACCAATTTTTGGTGCAACATCAAGGCAAAGATAGTGGACTAGTGGTTGGGCAGTCAGATATGTACTACTGTAGCACTGCTGGAATTGGCTGAGATGTAATTCTATGGAGGTCTTCCATCACACTGCCCTGTCTCAAGTGGTTTGGAGATCAGATGGTTGAGCTTGTGAAATAATCATTTCTGAACGATTTGGGGCCATATATTTTTCTCTGAAAAATCTGAAACACTGCATGAGCATGATTAGATAGCATCAATGCCTCAATATCATTGAGGACAAGGCTGGATGATCCAAGATTCAAGAGTTGAGCAGATGGAGGGTTCACTTCACTGTTTCTGGGTACACACTCTTACAGTCTTATACTGTTGCAGTAGCATGCAAGGTGTTGGGTGACCTGTGCTTTGATTACTGCTAATCATGCAACTCAGTAGTCAGTTCCATATCTGAGTTTGCACCAATGGCTGCACGATTTCTAGCATGACATGTAACAACCATTTCATGGTATATGGGGGCATTTTCCAATGGGCCTACAGCCATTTTTTTGCTGGAAAGTTCAGAATGTGGCTGTAAATTTCCATGCAAGACTGGATCTGTTGTCTGGGTGTTTACAAGGCATCAGTTGCAGTAAAATAAATCTGCAAAACAGTAAGTTTTGAGCTTATGTTGCCAGAATTTTATTGTCCTGAAATTGTGATCAGTCTTGAGATGCCTCAGGGACATAGCTATAGTATGGCTAACCAAGTTGTTCAACCATATTTTTCGATCGAACAAGATGCCTGACGAGTGGAGGAAAAATATATTGGTATCGATCTACAAGAATAAAGGGGGTATTCAAAGTTGTACTAATTACCGGGAATTAAGTTGATGAGCCATACTATGAAGCTTTGGGAGAGAGTTATCGAGTATCGCTTGAGAGCAATAACGCGGGTCTCTATAAACTAATTTGGTTTCATGTCCGGAAGGTCAACCATGGAAGCCATTTTCTTAATAAGACAAGTTATGGAGCGGTATAGAGAGAAGAAGAAGGACCTACATATGGTTTTTATTGACTTAGAGAATGTTTATGATAAAATACCAATGAATGTTATGTGGTGTGCTTTGGACAAACATAAAGTCCCAACGAAATACGTCGGGCTCATTAAGGACATGTACAACAATGATGTGACTAGTGTTCGAACAAGTGATGGAGACACGGATGACTTCCTGATTAGGATATGACTACATCAAGGGTCAGCTTTGAGCCCTTATATGTTTGCCTTAGTGATGGATGAGGTCACAAGGGACATACAAGGGGACATCCCTTCGTGTATGCTTTTCGTGGACGATGTAGTTCTAGTTGATGAAAGCCGGACATGAGTGAATCAGAAACTGGAGTTATGGCGGGAGACTTTGGAGTCCAAATGTTTTAGACCCAGTAGAACTAAAATTGAGTATATGAGATGTGACTTTGGCACTACTACTCGGGAGGAGAAATATATTAGTTTGGAAGGTCAAGTAGTGCATAGGAAGGATACCTTTCGATATTTAGGATCAATGCTACAGAGAGACGAGGATATTGATGAAGATGTTAGCCATAGAATCAAAGCAGGGTGGATGAAGTGGCACCAAGCATCTGGTGTCCTATGTGACAAAAGGGTATCACAGAAGCTAAAATGAAAGTTTTATAGGACGACGATTAGACCTGCTATGTTGTATGGTGCAGAATGTTGGCCTACGAAAAGATGACATGTTTAACAGATAAGTGTCGCGGAAATGCGTATGTTGCGTTGGATTTGCGGTTATACAAGAAGGGATCGAGTTCGGAACGATGATATATGTGATAGATTAGGGGTAGCACCAATTAAAGAAAAGCTTGTCCAACACCGGTTGAGATGGTTTGGACATGTCCAACGGAGACCTCTAGAGGCACCGGTGCGTAGTGGAATCCTAAGCCAAGATAGTAACGTGAAGAGAGGCAGAGGAAGACCGAAGTTGACTTGGGTAGAGGCAATAAAAGGAGACTTGAAAGGATGGAATATACCCAAAGACTTAGCCTTAGATAGGAGTGCTTGAAAAACAGTTATTCACGTGCCTGAACCTTCATTGCTTCTGCTGGGTTTCAACTCTAGCCTACCCCAACTTGTTTGGGATTTAAAGGCTTTGTTGTTGTTGTTGTTGTTGATGTTGAAATTGTGATCAGTCCTGTATTTGTGCAACATGTGCTCAGTGAACAAGAACACTGGTACTAGCTTGCTAAGTCGCTACCTTCCTTGATCGTTTGCAGGATCAGAAGGATCTGAATAGCATCTCTCTTTGTCCTACTATCTACAGTGATGAACTACTACTTATACAGCTGCAACTAACAGCAGGCTGCCACGTACGGGACCACGTGGTTTGCAGAGTGGCACGACATTGCCACGGTGTTTAGGAATGCCTTCTCCAGCTCGGCAGAGGCACCCCTCTTCAGCAAGCACAAGGCATACTCCATGACCATGGCATCACAGGGCAGTGTGATCTTGCCATCGCCGCCCGTGAAGCCGAACTCCTCCTTGGACATCTGCAGGAGCTCCGTGAAGACTGTTGTCCCGAGGCACGCCAAGGGCACCTCAAACCGTGCCCCGTCAGCAGTGTACACTGTGCAGTGGCCCTTGCTTGCCACGGAAGTGCAGCACTTGTCGACTTCCTTTGCTGCTGCCGTGAGGCGCTTCCTCCCAAGCGCTGCCATCCTCGACCACTTCGTGGCCAGCTGAGCGATCCTCTTGGTGCTGATCATGGTTACTTCTTTCTTTCTTGTCTGGAAACTGGAGATGTGGAGAGCTCTGAGTTGAGATTGTGATGGCGTTCTGAGGCTACTTGTCCTGAATATATAGCTCACTCGAACTCGAGTGGGATGGTTGGGCAAGGGACAATGCCATGTGGAATGGTGAGGGCAATGTTGCAAGATGCGTCTGCATGTACGATTTGGATGAGATTCTGATGGGCCGAAGTGTTTAGCTCATGTGGGAGCAGGTCCTGGCGTGCTTTCGGTACATGGATTGGATCATTGGACACCACCCATGTCAGAGTGGTGTCGCTCGGAAGCGGCACATGGACCACATGCTAGTGCCTAGTGGGTGCCAAGTTGCCAACATGAAGTGTGAGGGACACGCTCGTTCAGCTGGCAGTTGCGCCATCAGATACATCAGTATCGGTCCATTTCAGAGCAGTTTTCTTCAGGCTTGAAACAAGTCAATGCACACAACTAGAAGCTGCAATCTTGTAGGCCCTTGTTGTCAACTGTAGGAAGGGACCGGGCAATCAAATGGAGTTCACATGATATGCTACTGATCCACCAGACCACAAATTGAAAAAGCGGTATTGAGTTGTCGAACAACTTGTTTGGGCCGTTGAACAGGCTTAATCTGTGCGCTCAGAAACAATGTGCTGTGGTCTGAAATAACATTTGATATCTATTGCACAATCAGTGGAAGATCTGGAACTGACAAATTGGACCCAGTTTACATGTGGTCCTCATGACCCATGCGGCATGCCTCTTAGCAAGTATCAAACAGGTCAGTATGGCAGCACATCGTGATATCATAGCACCAAACACAGCTGCAATAGGGTCCAGCAAGTGCCAAACAGATATATATGGCCCTAGAGAAATCTAATCAAAACTCGACATTGCTTCTCCTTGCAACACTGCATGTTCTGAGCTCATGGCCCTGCCTCTTGGCTGTCTGATGGTAACTGCACTTATCTGTATTGTCTTCTCTTTGCCCTGACCTATAAATCCATCAGCTTACCACCAAGACTTCATCAGCCCATCAGCAAGCTAAGCACCACACACACCTGGTAGCTGAAGAACCACCATACAAACTGAATTTCTCTGAATATTCAGCCAAAAAAGCAGGAGAAGCAACCATGATCAGTGCTAAGAGGCTTGTTCAGATGGCAAAGAAGTGGCGGAGAATGGCTGCACTGGCAAGGAAGCGGCTCACGGCGACGCCGGGGAAAGAAGCCGATGGTTCATGCGGCACGTCGACGTCGGTGGCCGTGAAGGGCCACTGCGTCGTGTACTCCTTGGACGGGAGGCGGTTCGAGGTCCCACTGGTGTACCTCGGCACAGCGGTGTTCAGCGAGCTCCTGAGCATGTCGCAGGAGGAGTTTGGGTTTGCCGGCGATGATGGCAGGATCACGTTGCCCTGTGACGCCGCGGTGATGGAGTACGTGATGTGTTTGCTTAGGCGAGACGCCTCTGAAGAGGTTGCGAGGGCGTTCTTGAGCTCCATCTCCATGTTCAGACCTTGCCACCACAGCGTCAGTGGCATGGTGCCATCGATGCGCCAATCAGCTATCTGTGTATAGCTATGATTAGCTCATGATGTATATAATATTAGATGAATCATTTAGCCGGATGTAATATTCTGGAATAACAGGAAATCGCACAAAAAGGTTCTTCATTTTATATCCTTTCTGAAGTCTGAACACGCCTCGTTGCATGAATTTGCAAACGATTCTCGTGTCATGAATGACATGGACACATGGTACAGAGTACTAGAAAGAAGAGGAAGCCATGGCCTGGAAGTTCGCGGACGCGCGAGATGCGGTTGAAGGACGCAACGTCGGCGGCGGAACTCAGTAAATTCACCGGCGGCGACTACCTTTGTATTGCCGAAAATGACCTTTGGCACCTCAAAAATTTGGATCGCCCACCGTCCAATCTGACCGTGCGATTGGATTCTCGCGGTTGCGGCCCAGATCGAGAAACGCAGAGCAGTTTTGGGCTTTTGGTCTTGGGCCTTTTCCGGTGGGACCCACGTACCAGCCTGTGTTACCGTTTGGACCCCGCTGTGGGTCATTCTTCACTGCCAGCGGCGGCGCGGCGGAAGCCTGACGAGCGCCGTTGAGTCCGCCGTGGCCCCCCTCGGAGCTTTCCGGTTGCTGTGGCGTCTGTAGGTTGTGATGGCCCCCCACGAGTGCGCCGGTCGGCAGGCAGCTCGTCGGCTCCGGTGAGAACTCCAAACCGGCAAACCGAATAGGTGCTCCAATCGTATGTGAGGCAGAAAATACGCCAAATTTGCTCAAATTGGTTCATAGCAGCTGTCAGGACGGTGGCATATCTTATTTTTGATTGACGGTCTGCTTGTTTTTCTGCATCACACGGTTGTTTCATTGCTGTGGCTTTCAGCGAAGGGGCTGTACTTGACTGCCAGTTTGGAATTTCGACTAGTCGATTTTGCTGTGTGGATATCATTTAAATGATTTAGCTGAGTTTAATTTTCATCATGTTTAATCTACGATAGTAACATACTTATAGGCTTATAGCAGCACCACTTTGTGTTAAAAAAACATTTCCCTTCACTCTGAATATATGCCACCTTGTTATTTTTTTTTTCAAAAACCTGACAGGAGCTCTGCCTCTCAATTAAAGACGAAAAGAAATTTAAATATATAGGAACACCTGGACATCCGGGAAGCCACACCGGGCTCACATACAGGAAACACACAAACCCCTCCTCCCCATGGGGGTTAACCTGTGAAAAGACTAAGTCGGGTTGCTAAAGACCCTAGAGCGCATATAAATGTCCTCTTTGGCTTTGAAGGCCACTTGTCGAGCATCCATGACCACATTCTGAATGTTTTTTTCCTTCCAAATATTCCACATTGTGTATATCGCCACCCCATTGAAGTGTCGCTGTCGCTGCCTTGGGACTGTGGCTGCCACTTGTTCCCACCATGTTCTTATTTCTGTTGGTTGGGTCTGAGGCCGGATTACGTTAGTGTCAAAGTGCTCCCATGCCAACACAAGAGTCCAAACCTCTTTAGCTAGAGGGCATAGCAGGCACAGCTGAAGGCCGGATTCCGATGGACCGTTGCACAAAACGCAGCGATCTTGGTGTGGCCAATTTCTCAGTTGCAGATTGTCTGCTGTGGATTTTATTCTGCACTAGGATCCATGCAAAGAACTTGCATTTATTTTCATTATGTGCTTTCCAAATAAGGTCTGGGCGGAATTTCCTGAAGCTCCCATGGAACTGTATGCGATATGCCGAGCGAGTCGAGTATTTTCCATCATGCGTCCATTTCTAGGCAATGGAGTCTTGTACTCCTGGCTGCAGCTGAATATTCTGTATTCTGATCCAAAGGGATACAAATTCCTCCACATGGGTGACCGTTGTGATCCTGCCCCTAAGTGCCCGAATCCAGGTATGGTTGTGAAGTTCGTGTTGCACCGATCTGTTCTTCCTTCTTACTAACTCAAAGAGATACGTCGCGAGGTTCCTAGGAACTTCTCCATCTAACCAGCTGTGATGCTAGAATTGTGTTTTCATTCCATCTCCGACCGTGACAATGGTTGAGGCGTTAAAGAGTAGACTATCAACCGGTTTGCAAGGCACTTCGGATCCAGCCCACGGCTTGGAGGGGTTGAAAGATCATTGCTTAGTTTTGGTAATTGAGTAACAACCTTGGGTGGACTAATATGCGTTTGAGTGAAATACACATGTGATTAGTTTACAAGTACATGTGTGTGAGCAACATATGCCATAGAGGTGAAATAGCTTGGACTTGTTGCAGAGCTTACACATGTGATGATGAAGGAGCTCATTGCACATGAGACAGGACATTGAGTCATAAGACATGACTTGGCTTGATGGACCGGTTGCAAGTGTAAAGGGCAAGTTAAGTGATGACTTGGCGCCGATGGACCAAAGCAACGGTGAAGAGCAAGCAAAATCAAGATCGATAAACCAATATGATCATGTGATGATATGGAGCGGATCATATCATTGTTGATCATGTTGGTGCATGTGTTGCATCGACATTGGAGGAGATGGAATGGAATATGCAAGGCAAATGTATAACCTAGGGCATTTCATTTCACCGGTCATAGGTGTGTAGAGAAGTTTATGACCGGGTTTAGGATAGATGGTCGTACTATCAAGAGGGTAAACTTGTTTGCATATCGGTTATCTAGTGCCACTCGAGTGATCTAGCTTTGCATCGTTGCTAGGATCGAGTGACATGGTGAAAAGAGTGCTAATCCTTTGGGAAAATGTGTGTGAAAAGCTAACACACGTGCACAAGGTGTTGTTCACTTGGTGGTGTTAGCACATTTACAAAGGTGAAGAAGTTGATGAAGAAGTGGAGGCAAAACCGGGCTCGGGGTGCTGCCTGGCTAGCACCGCCACCCCCTGTCCAGTGCACCGCCACCCCTTGTGGCGGTGCCCGGCTGGTCGAGGCCGAGAGCAGGTGTTGGAGCTGGCACCGCCGTGCTGTGTCCGGTGGCACTGCCACCCCTAGGGCGGTGCCCACCGGGCTGGGCCAAGAAGAGCTGGTGCTGGGGCAGGCACCGCCCCTAGGACGGTAGTGCACCACCAGTTGTGTCACATTGCTTAGTTTGTGTTGCTAAGTAATTTGTGCTCTTTAATTTAGCATTAGTTGCCTTGTTATTGAGCATTGCTAGTGAACTTAGGTGCTTTGTGCTTTTGCTTACTAGTTGTATAGGAGCTCCCTCGTGCTTGAAGTACTAGTGGCATAGGTTTGTGTGACTTTGCTCCTAGAATTGGTTATGTGAGCTCTAGCTAGCCCGACACCTTAGTTGCTTGTTTAGGATCTTTTCAAGGTACTTGATAACTTAGATAGAGGGATGTGGTTTTAGCTAGACTGATAATTTTAATTTCGCATTTGTTATGGTTAGCCGATGTGATTGTTTATAGAAAGGACTATTCACTCTCCTCTAGTCCGTTATCTCGACCCTACATGTGGTATCGGAGCTTGGTCTTTCATTTGTGGTCTTCACCGATCCGAGAGGATGGCGTCTAGTGGGATAGTTGATTGTGAGACACATTTTTTTATGGCACAAACTTTGCACTTTGGAAAAATCACATGCTTAATCATTTTCGTGCAAAGGGACCTAAGTTTTGTTGGGTTGTCACTAGTGGTCTGACTCATGTCTTGGACCATAGAAATGTCACCAAAGCTCAAAGAGTTCTCTATGAACTTGATGCACATGTTTGTTGTTATCTAATGGATGCTTTGAGCTTTGATTTGATAAAAAGGATAAACTACGTGGAACCGCTCGTGAGATATGGGAATCAATCAAGCACACCTTCGGTGATTCCTTCACGTGGAATGATGGCTAGTTCAAGGAGGATAAGCCCAAGAAGAAGGTGCATGTGTGTGTCAAGCATGACCACAATTTGGTGATTGTGGAAGATTGCTCCACCTCATGGTCAAGTGATGATGATGATTGATCCACTACAAGTTTACTTGACAAGATTAATGATGATGATGCCTCAAGTGATGCCGATGATGATGCTACTCCATGCACATTTGATGGTGATGATGATGGATCATGCTCGGATGACATTGCTACCACAAGCTCTCCTACATCACCACATTGCTTCATGTCACAAGGTGACACTAAGGTATCTAATGCTAATGTAGTTGATCATGTTAATTCATTTGATGAGCTTGTGAGTAAACTTGCTAGCATGATCATGTCTTTAGAAAATGAGAAAGCTAAAACAATAAAATTAGAAAATGAAAACTCATTTCTAAAGAACTCATGCGAAGAACATAAGAAATTACTTGATGTTCTTAAAATCTTCACATGGTGAGCTAAAATTGACTCATGAGACACCACTTGCATCTCATGAAGAATTATTAGATCAACATGCTTCTCTCATTAAAGTATTTACAAAGAAACTTAAAATAGTGAGAGCTTATCATATGGGTCACATGATCAATCACATATTATTGCTAAACCTTGTGATGTAGTGAAGAAGCATGTATCCACCTCTTATGATGATTTATTAGAAATACCATGCTCTTCACACATAGATGCTTGTTCTACTTTCTTGTCTTGTGAGACTAACCTTTTAAAGGAGAACAATGAGCTCAATAATAAAGTGAAGAAATTGAGCAACAAATTAGAGAGGTGCTACAACTCAAAAGTCACCTTTGAGCATATGTTGAAGACTTAAAGAAACTTCGATGACAAGAGTGGCCTTGGCTTCAAAAGGAAGATGACAAAGGGAGAAAGAAAAAGGGCAAAGAAGATGAAGAAGCAACTACAATTGAAGTTGTCTCACTTCATGTGCTACCGGTGTCATGAAGCGGGACACCTTGTAAATGGTTGCCCAAACATTGAGAAGCTCAAGAAGATGAATGAAGAAGAGAGGCTAAAGCATGTCAAGTGCTTCAAGTGCCGCACTTGGGGTCATCTCACCTCTATGTGCCCAACCAAGCAAGTGGTGAAGCAACAAGTGAAGCCTCAACCAAAGCCACAAGATGAGCAAGAAAAAACACCCCAAGAGCAAATCAAGATCAACCATGAAGATGGTGGTGACATGATGATAAAG